TCAACACAAAGTGGCACATAATTCTGAAGTGGATAGAAAATGATAAATGGTTTTCAAACTTTTTTACAAATCAATATCTGAAAAGTGTGGCATTCATTTGTATTCAGCCCCCTTTACTCTGATACCCCTAACTAAAATCTAGTGGAAGCAATTGTCTTTAGAAGTCGCCTAATTAGTAAATATACTCCACCTGTGTGTAATTTAATCTTGTTATAAATACAGCTGTTCTGTGAAGCCCTCAGAGATTTTGAGAACATTAGTGAACAAACAGCATCATGAAGGCAAAGGAACACACCAGACAGGTCAGGGCTAAAGTTGTGGAGAAGTTTAAAGCAGGGTTAGGTTATAAAAAAAAAAAAAGATTTCCCAAGCTTTGAACATTTCAGGGAACACTGTTGAATCCATCATCCACAAACTGAAAGAGTATGGCACAACTGAAAACCTATCAAGACATGGTCGTCCATCTAACCTTGACAGGCCGGGCAAGGAGAGCATTAATCAGAGAAGCAGCCAAGGCCCATGGTAACTCTGGAGGAGCTGAGGAGATCCAGCTGGAAGAATCTGTCCACAGAACAACTATTAGTCGTGCACTCGAAAAATCTGGGCTTTATGGAAGAGTGGAAAGAAGAAAGCCATTGTTGAAAGCCATAAGAAGTCTCATTTGCAGTTTGCGAGAAACCATGTGGGGGACACGGCAAACATGTGAAAGAAGGTGCTCCAGTCAGATGAGACCAACATTGAACTTTTTGGCCTAAAAGCAAAACACTGTGTGGTGGAAAACCAACACTATACATCACCCTAAACACACCATTCCCACCATTAAACTAAATGGTGGTGGCAGCGTCTTGTTGTGGGGATGCTTTTCTTCAGCAGGGACAGGGAAGCTGGACAGAGTTGATGGGAAGATAGATGGAGCCAAATACAGGGCAATCTTAGAAGAAAACCTGTTAGGCTGCAACGGACTTGAGACTGGGGTGGAGGTTCACCTTCCAGCAGGACAACGACCCTAAACATACAGCTAGAGCTACAATGGAATGGTTTAGATCAAAGCATATTCATGTATTAGAATGACCAAAGTCCAGATGTAAATCCAATTGCGAATCTGTGGCAAGACTTGAAAATTCTTATTTACAGACACTCTCTATCCAGACTGACAGAGCTTGAGCTATTTTGCAAAGAAAAATGGGCAAAAATGTCACTACATGTGCAAAGCTGGTAGAGACTTGCTCAAAAAGACTTGCGGTTGTAATTGCAGTGAAAAGTGGTTCTACAAAGTATTGATTCGGGGGCTGAAAACAAATGCACACCACACTTTTTCAGATATTTATTTGAAAACCATTTATCATTTTCCTTCCACTTCACAAGTATGTGCCACTTTTTGTTGGTCTATCAGATAAAATCCCAATAAAATACATTTGTTTTTGATTTGTGACATGACAAAATGTGACATGAATGCTTTAAGTCTCTGTATATGTAAATTGACCCTTCGGGATATTAAACAGCCATGCAGGATGATGGCAACTATCCACTGGGATATAGCTTCTGCGGTCCGTGTCTTTGAAAAAAGACTTAGTAGGGATTTTGCCTTCTTGATTCATCAGGGTAAGTGAGAATAATGTTAAGGTATTGGCAATCCCTTCTGAGGAAGTGTGTGGCACGAAAAGTGTCGAGGAGCCCATACGCCGTGACGTCATGCCGCCGGAGCCTCGTGAAGGTCCGGCGGCCATTTTGCTTGGTGGATGGTCAGTCCCTCCACACTATCTTACTTGATGTCATTTACAGTTAAGTCCATAAATATTGGGACATCGAAACAATTCTAAAATGTTTGGCTCTATACACCACCACAATGGATTTGAAATGAAACGAACAAGATGTGCTTTAACTGCAGACTGTCAGCTTTAATTTGAGGGTATTTACATCCAAATCAGGTGAACGGTGTAGGAATTACAAGTTTGCATATATGCCTCCCACTTGTTAAGGGACCAAAAGTAATGGGACAGAATACTAATCATAAATCAAACTTTCACTTTTTAATACTTGGTTGCAAATCCTTTGCAGTCAATTACAGCCTGAAGTCTGGAACGCATAGACATCACCAGACGCTGGGTTTCATCCCTGGTGATGCTCTGCCAGGCCTCTACTGCAACTGTCTTCAGTTCCTGCTTGTTCTTGGGGCATTTTCCCTTCAGTTTTGTCTTCAGCAAGTGAAATGCATGCTCAATTGGATTCAGGTCAGGTTATTGACTTGGCCATTGCATAACATTCCACTTCTTTCCCTTAAAAACTCTTTGGTTGCTTTTGCAGTATGCTTTGGGTCATTGTCCATCTGCAGTGTGAAGCGGCGTCCAATGAGTTCTGAAGCATTTGGCTGAATATGAGCAGATAATATTGCCCGAAAACACTTCAGAATTCATCCTGCTGCTTTTGTCAGCAGTCACATCATCAAATACAAGAGAACCAGTTCCATTGGCAGCCATACATGCCCACGCCATGACACTACCACCACCATGCTTCACTGATGAGGTGGTATGCTTAGGATCATGAGCAGTTCCTTTCCTTCTCCATACTCTTCTCTTCCCATCACTCTGGTACAAGTTGATCTTGGTCTCATCTGTCCATAGGATGTTGTTCCAGAACTGTGAAGGCTTTTTTAGATGTCGTTTGGCAAACTCTAATCTGGCCTTCTTGGTTTTGAGGCTCACCAATGGTTTACATCTTGTGGTGAACCCTCTGTATTCACTCTGGGGAAGTCTTCTCTTGATTGTTGACTTTGACACACATACACCTACCTCCTGGAGAGTGTTCTTGATCTGGCCAACTGTTGTGAAGGGTGTTTTCTTCACCAGGGAAAGAATTCTTCGGTCATCCACCACAGTTGTTTTCCGTGGTCTTCCGGGTCTTTTGGTGTTGCTGAGCTCACCGGTGCGTTCTTTCTTTTTAGGAATGTTCCAAACAGTTGTTTTGGCCACGCCTAATGTTTTTGCTATCTCTCTGATGGGTTTGTTTTGTTTTTTCAGCCTAATGATGGCTTGCTTCACTGATAGTGACAGCTCTTTGGATCTCATCTTGAGAGTTGACAGCAACAGATTCCAAATGCAAATAGCACACTTGAAATGAACTCTGGACCTTTTATCTGCTCATTGTAATTGGGATAATGAGGGAATAACACACACCTGGCCACGGAACAGCTGAGAAGCCAATTGTCCCATTACTTTTGGTCCCTTAACAAGTGGGAGGCACATATGCAAACTGTTGTAATTCCTACACCGTTCACCTGATTTGGATGTAAATACCTTCAAATTAAAGCTGACTGTCAGGAATGGACTCAGCACTGGTGGTGGGACTCACCTGCCGTGTGGGCTGCAGTACCAGGGCTGACCAGCGGGTGCTCTCAGCAACCAGAAGCTCACTCCTGTAGTCAGCCATAAGCTGAAGCTGATTGCAGGAGGTGTATTTAAGTAGGACCAGGCCTGTGATCAGGGCCTTGGTGTATTGTTTCCCATGAGCCCCTGTACCGGGTATCCTGTGTTCGTGTTCTGCTGTCTATCTGAATTGTTGCCAACCCTCCCTGATCCTGACCTCTGCTGACTTCTCCTGCTTGATCCCTGGCTTGCCTGACCATCCTTCTGCCTGATCCTCTGTACCGCGCTGCCTGTGAGTTACTGAACCCGGCTTGTGACCCTGACTATTCTCTGCCTGCTCCTTTGGTACCTCGCTGCCCGCACGTTGCTGACCTGGCCTGCCTGACTACGCCTGACGCTACCCAGACGATCCATCCATCCATCCCGCACAGATCTGTCCCTGTTATCAGGTCTGCCAGCCTCTTCACGTCAGGCTTTCCCACGGTACATACCCTCGGCGGATCCCTCTACCACAGTTGGGTGCACTCAGGGGCCGTGACCTGGTCTCAGTCCTGCGCCAAGTCCATCCCCACCATCAGGGGCTCTGGTGAAAAGGCAGACTGGGGCTTAGACTCCGCGCCCTGGGGAATCCCGTTCTGTGGGTACTAGAGATCCCGCCGGGCGGTGCCTGACATTACCTAACAGCCTGCCTAACCATTCCACCTCTCCAGCTCTGACTACACCTGTGTTCCTGAAGCCTGCTACTTCCCTGTGTCAGTCCACACATTTCTGGTCATACCCGGTTCCCTAACAGAACACCAATGCCAATCCGGACCAGAAGTGGCCACACAGGGAAGCCATCTTGGCTTGTTGTTTGTGGAGGATGCATCCTAAGGAGGTTGAGTACTTGTCTCTGCTAGTATTGGAAGACAGAGTATACGGCTATCAGATTCTGAAGAAGTATGCCAGGGATCAGCTGCTAGAGTGCATGCGGGTTGCTCATTCACTAGTGGATCGGGGCATGGAGTTTTCTGAGGTACAACCATTGATCCAGGTTTGTGCTGAGTTGGCTCTGTCCAGTACTTCAGAAAGCAGGGATGACTTTTTTCCCCCATTTAGTGCAGATCAAGTGGAATCACTGGTATGGCTGTTGGAGGAGGATCCAGATTGCTTCCATGAGCATTATGCAGCTTGTCCATCACATGTGCTTGTGGATTGCATAAACGCAATGCAGTCTTTGGTCAGACAGGCTATGTGTAAGCTGAGTTTTGTTCAACCGGAATTACAGTCCTGGTCAGATTTGTTACCCCCAGCCTCAGTCAGCTTGCAACAACCCAGTCCTGCTTCTAATCTATTTCTGCAAAGCTCTATTCCTGCATTCCCGACAGCACCTCCAGTTCCAGCCCAGTATACCCTGCTATCAACCACATGTCAGAACCCCTTTTCCCACTCGCTGCACCTATCCTGCGTTTAATTCTATAAAGAAGCCCTCTGTAGCAACTGCTCCTTCCTCTGTTCCATCCTCCAGCTCTTCTCTGTCTTCAGCTGCTCCATCTGTTTACAGACCTGCGTTTACTTACAGTGCTCCAGTAACTAAAACCAGGAAGAAGCGAAAATTCTTTCCAACCAGTACCATCCTGCCAGTATCCAAACCAGTCAGCCTGCGGTCTGAGAACGCGCCTTCTGTTCAGCCTAATGCCCGGATGCCTGATGACCCAGTGTACGCTACCCAGCTGGATGATCTTACCCAGCCTGATGACCCAATCCAGCCAGATGACTCTTTGCCCGCTGTCGTGCCAGATGACTCTTTGCCCGCTGTCGTGCCAGATGACTCTTTGCCCGCTGTCGTGCCAGATGACTCTTTGCCCGCTGTCGTGCCAGATGACTCTTTGCCCGCTGTCGTGCCAGATGACTCGTTGCCCGCTGCCGTGCCAGATGACTCGTTGCCCGCTGCCGTGCCAGATGACTCGTTGCCCGCTGCCGTGCCAGATGACTCGTTGCCCGCTGCCGTGCCAGATGACTCGTTGCCCGCTGCCGTGCCAGATGACTCGTTGCCCGCTGCCGTGCCAGATGACTCGTTGCCCGCTGCCGTGCCAGATGACTCGTTGCCCGCTGCCGTGCCAGATGACTCGTTGCCCGCTGCCGTGCCAGATGACTCGTTGCCCGCTGCCGTGCCAGATGACTCGGTGCCCGCTGTCGTGCCAAGTGACTCGGTGCCCGCTGTCGTGCCAAGTGACTCGGTGCCCGCTGTCGTGCCAGCTGACTCGGTGCCCGCTGTCGTGCCAGCTGACTCGGTGCCCGCTGTCGTGCCAGCTGACTCGGTGCCCGCTGTCGTGCCAGCTGACTCGGTGCCCCGCTGTCGTGCCAGCTGACTCGTTGCCCGCTGCCGTGCCAGATGACTCGTTGCCCGCTGCCGTGCCAGATGACTCGTTGCCCGCTGCCGTGCCAGATGACTCGTTGCCCGCTGCCGTGCCAGATGACTCGTTGCCCCGCTGCCGTGCCAGATGACTCGTTGCCCGCTGCCGTGCCAGATGACTCGTTGCCCGCTGCCGTGCCAGATGACTCGTTGCCCGCTGCCGTGCCAGATGACTCGTTGCCCGCTGCCGTGCCAGATGACTCGTTGCCCGCTGCCGTGCCAGATGACTCGGTGCCCCGCTGTCGTGCCAAGTGACTCGGTGCCCGCTGTCGTGCCAAGTGACTCGGTGCCCGCTGTCGTGCCAGCTGACTCGGTGCCCGCTGTCGTGCCAGCTGACTCGGTGCCCGCTGTCGTGCCAGCTGACTCGGTGCCCGCTGTCGTGCCAGCTGACTCGGTGCCTGCTGTCGTGCCAAGTGACTCGGTGCCCGCTGTCGTGCCAAGTGACTCGGTGCCCGCTGCCGTGCCAAGTGACTCGGTGCCCGCTGCCGTGCCAGCTGACTCGGTGCCCGCTGCCGTGCCAGCTGACTCGGTGCCCGCTGCCGTGCCAGCTGACTCGGTGCCCGCTGCCGTGCCAGCTGACTCGGTGCCCGCTGCCGTGCCAGCTGACTCGGTGCCCGCTGTCGTGCCAGCTGACTCGGTGCCCGCTGCCGTGCCAGCTGACTCGGTGCCCGCTGTCGTGCCAGCTGACTCGTTGCCCGCTGCCCTGCCAGCTGACTCGTTGCCCGCTGCCCTGCCAGATGACTCGTTGCCCGCTGCCCTGCCAGATGACTCGTTGCCCGCTGCCCTGCCAGATGACTCGTTGCCCGCTGCCCTGCCAGATGACTCGTTGCCCGCTGCCCTGCCAGATGACTCGTTGCCCGCTGCCCTGCCAGATGACTCGTTGCCCGCTGCCCTGCCAGATGACTCGTTGCCCGCTGCCCTGCCAGATGACTCGTTGCCCGCTGCCCTGCCAGATGACTCGTTGCCCGCTGCCCTGCCAGATGACTCGTTGCCCGCTGTCGTGCCAGATGACTCGTTGCCCGCTGTCGTGCCAGATGACTCGTTGCCCGCTGTCGTGCCAGATGACTCGTTGCCCCGCTGTCGTGCCAGATGACTCGTGCCCGCTGTCGTGCCAGATGACTCGTTGCCCGCTGTCGTGCCAGATGACTCGGTGCCCGCTGTCGTGCCAGATGACTCGGTGCCCGCTGACGTGCCAGATGACTAGACGTGCCAGCCGTGCCAGATGACTCGATGTCCAGCTGTCGTGCCAGATGACTCGTGCCAGCCTGACGTGCCGATGTCCAGCTAGACGTGCCAGCCTGACGTGCCGATGTCCAGCTAGACGTGCCAGCCTGACGTGCCGATGTCCAGCTAGACGTGCCAGCCTGACGTGCCGATGTCCAGCTAGACGTGCCAGCCTGACGTGCCGATGTCCAGCTAGACGTGCCAGCCTCTGATGTCCAGCTAGACGTGCCAGCCTCTGATGTCCAGCTAGACGTGCCAGCCTCTGATGTCCAGCTAGACGTGCCAGCCTCTGATGTCCAGCTAGACGTGCCAGCCTCTGATGTCCAGCTAGACGTGCCAGCCTCTGATGTCCAGCTAGACGTGCCAGCCTCTGATGTCCAGCTAGACGTGCCAGCCTCTGATGTCCAGCTAGACGTGCCAGCCTCTGATGTCCAGCTAGACGTGCCAGCCTCTGATGTCCAGCTAGACGTGCCAGCCTCTGATGTCCAGCCAGACGTGCCAGCCTCTGATGTCCAGCCAGACGTGCCAGCCTCTGATGTCCAGCCAGACGTGCCAGCCTCTGATGTCCAGCCAGACGTGCCAGCCTCTGATGTCCAGCCAGACGTGCCAGCCTCTGATGTCCAGCCAGACGTGCCAGCCTCTGATGTCCAGCCAGACGTGCCAGCCTCTGATGTCCAGCCAGACGTGCCAGCCTCTGATGTCCAGCCAGACGTGCCAGCCTCTGATGTCCAGCCAGACGTGCCAGCCTCTGATGTCCAGCCAGACGTGCCAGCCTCTGATGTCCAGCCAGACGTGCCAGCCTCTGATGTCCAGCCAGACGTGCCAGCCTCTGATGTCCAGCCAGACGTGCCAGCCTCTGATGTCCAGCCAGACGTGCCAGCCTCTGATGTCCAGCCAGACGTGCCAGCCTCTGATGTCCAGCCAGACGTGCCAGCCTCTGATGTCCAGCCAGACGTGCCAGCCTCTGATGTCCAGCCAGACGTGCCAGCCTCTGATGTCCAGCCAGACGTGCCAGCCTCTGATGTCCAGCCAGACGTGCCAGCCTCTGATGTCCAGCCAGACGTGCCAGCCTCTGATGTCCAGCCAGACGTGCCAGCCTCTGATGTCCAGCCAGACGTGCCAGCCTCTGATGTCCAGCCAGACGTGCCAGCCTCTGATGTCCAGCCAGACGTGCCAGCCTCTGATGTCCAGCCAGACGTGCCAGCCTCTGATGTCCAGCTAGACGTGCCAGCCTCTGATGTCCAGCTAAACTGGCCAATAACTGGTTCCCAGCCTGCTCCTGGAGATCCTGTGTCCAGTAACCTGCCTTCCTGGGTTCTCCTACAGAAAGAGAAGTCTACCAGCAGGAAACCCAGCCAGCTGGTTGACTCCGGCAGTAGGATATTCAGCCAGTTACCTGACCTGGGTGGTGGAACATTTTGCTCACTTAGGACTGTTTGGAGCGTCCTGAGGCCGCTCCTTGAGGGGGGGGTACTGTCAGGAATGGACTCCGCACTGGTGGTGGGACTCACCTGCCGTGTGGGATGCAGTACCAGGGCTGACCAGCGGGTGCTCTCAGCAACCAGAAGCTCACTCCTGCAGTCAGCCATCAGCTGAAGCTGATTGCAGGAGGTGTATTTAAGTAGGACCAGGCCTGTGATCAGGGCTTTGGTGTATTGTTTCCCATGAGCCCCTGTACCTGGTATCCTGTGTTCCTGTTCTGCTGACTATCTGATGACCTGGACTGCCCTGACTACGGCCTGACGCTACCCAGACGATCCATCCATCCATCCTGCACGGATCTGTCCCTGTTACCAGGTCTGCAGCCTCTTCACATCAGCTTTCCCACGGTACATATCCTCGGCGGATCCCTCTACCACAGTTGGGTGCACTCAGGGGCCGTGACCTGGTCTCAGTCCTGCGCCAAGTCCATCCCCACCATCAGGGGCTCTGTGTGAAAAAGGCAGACTGGGGGCTTAGACTCCGCGCCCTGGGGAATCCCGTTCTGTGGGTACTGACGATCCGCCGGGCGGGTGCCTGACATTACCTAACAGCCTGCCTGACCATTCCACCTCTCCAGCCCTGACTACGCCTGTGTTCCTGAAGCCTGCTACTTCCCTGTGTCAGTCCCACATTTCTGGTCATATACCCGGATCCCTAACACTGACAGTCTGCAGTTAAAGCACATCTTGTACGTTTCATTTCAAATCCATTGTGGTGGTGTATAGAGCCAAAATTTTAGAATTGTGTCGATGTCCCAATATTTATGGACCTGGACTGTATATGTCTTACCACGTGGAATTTTTACAATATAAAACTTGCTTAATATAATACTGCACTATGGGCTACTCTTTGTCTGGCTACCATATCGAGCTGAATTCATTTGCAGAGACCCCCATCCGGAAGGTAGTTGCAGTATTCCACTGAATCCAGAAGAGGAGGGGAGTTTTCACTAAGGTTGTGAAACACCCATCCATCCATAAAGGAGACATCTGGCGTGGATCCAATTTGTGCTCACCCAGGAGGCATCTGCAGGGCTGTATACCACCCAGAGGGAGGAGAATCCGTACTCTGCTTTATCTCATCTATTCCATCCTTAAAGGGGACCTTGGATATATTGTTTACATGCGTATTTAAAATACGCATCTGGTGAGTGCGTATTTTTACCACACCTTTGGCACATCACTTAATTTTCGAGTAATTATCAGTCCTTGATCTGCACCTCAGCACAAAACTATCACTTTATGAATATTATATTTTAATCTTTTATGAACTATATTATTTGGAGTATTACTTGACACCTTTTAGTACTCATCTGTGGAGGTTTTATGTTTTGTGTGCAATCCGCGGCTATTTAAGAGCTCACTGATCTTTTTTATTTTATGATACACAGACTAACTATTCTCTGAAGGAGGGGGAGCTTGTCCCTCGAAACGCAGCAGCCTGGTTGGCTGAGTGATGCGTAGGTCACATCTCTAATCCTGACCTTTTCTCACTGGTTTAATGTTTCAGATTGTGTTGAAAATAGCAGTCAGACACGCACTAATCCCTGATCCATTGTATCACTCCATTCCTTTGGTAGGATATGATATTTCTACCATAGCAAATAATTTACTAGCTGGTGTAGTAAGAGTAATAGAAATCCAACAGTCATGACATGCTGCAGCGATTCTGTGTAAATGAATCACTAAATTGAACTAGGGGCACCTTTCAAAATAATAGCAGTGTGGAGTCTCTATTAGTGAGGTCATTTCATTCTTTGAACAAACCTGTTGTGGCAAATTATTGCCCTTAAGGAAGGAAGAGCAGAAAATGTTGTACATGACTGGTCTACAGTGCTTTTCTCTGAAATTTTTTTTAATGATGGAAAATGGGTCGTTACAGGACTTTGTTCAGAAGAAACAGCGTTGCCTTGATTAAAAAGTTGATTGGAGAGGGGAAAACTATAAAGAAAGTGCTGAAAATGATAGGCTGCTCAGCTAAAATGATCGCAAATGCTCTTAACATGGCAACTAGGTATGAGCGAATCGAACCTGGCGAAGTGGATTCGGTTCGAATATTAGGAAAAATACGATTCGCGTCGTATCCAGAATATTAGCAAACTTCGGATGCACACATCGAATTTTCCCCGAAAAAAAAACAAAAAAATCGCCGATTTTCATCCCTTCTACATTGCCGGCAAAAGTGTCCCTGCAAGAGCGATCCCCTCGCTATTTCTGCCAGTTCTCTGACAGATTCCCCCCCCCCCCCCCCCCCCCCCCCCCCCCACCAAAACACCCCCCCCCCACACAAACACCAACCCAAAAAAAAAAAAAAAAAAAAAAAAACCAAAAACCCCCCAAAAAAACCCCCCAAACCCCCCCCCCCCCCCCACCCCCAAAAAAAAAACCAAAAAAAAAAAAAACCCCAAAAAAATAAACAAAATCAATCCAACAAACAACCCCCCAACCAAACAAACCACTTCCTCACCTTCTTTCCTCTTCTTCCATCCTCCTTCTCTACTTCCAACCTCTTCTTCCATCCATGCCCCTTCCTCCATCTTCTTCCTCCCTTCTTCCTTATTCCTTCTTCTTCATCTTCTTCCTCCTACATGATCCTTCTCCTTCCCGACTCACCTTCTTCCTTCTTCCTCCAAACTTCTTCTTTCTTCTTCCTCCTTCTTCTTCTTCCTCCTTCTTCCTCTTCTTCCTCCTTCCTTATCTTCTCCTTCTTCCTTCTTCCTTCTTCTACTTCCTTCTTCTTCCTCTTCCTAAATCTTCTTCTTCATTCTTCCTTCTGACAGAGCTTCTAAACTTCTTCCTGACCTCTCTTCTCTTCTCCTTCTCTTCTTCCTCCTTCTTCTTCTTTCCTCCTTTCTTCCTTCTTTCCTATTCTTCTTCTTCCGTAAGCTTCTTCTTCTTTCTATCCTTTCTTCTTCTTCTAAACCTTCTTTCTTCCTTCTTCCTTCTTCTTCTTCCTTCCTTTCCTTCCTTCTTCTTCTTCTTCCTTCTTCTTCTTCTTCCTCCCTTCTTCTTCCTCTTTTCTTCTTCTTCTCTACTTCTTCTTCCTCCTCTTATCTTCTTCTTCCCCCTTCTTTTACTTCTTCCAACCTTCTTCTTCTTCTTCCTCCTTCTTCTTCTTTCTTCCTCCTTCATTCTTATTCTTCCTCTTGGTATCTACTTCTTCTTCCTCCTTCTTCTTCCTCCTTCTTCTTCTTCCTCCTTCTAACCTTCCTCACTTCTTCCTTCTTTAAACTCCTTCTACTTCTTCTTCTTCCTTCTTCTACTTCCTTCTAAAAAATCCTTCTTCTTCTTTCTTCCTTCAGTCCTTATTCCTCCATCTTCTTCAAACTTCCTTCTATCTTCTTCCTCCTTCTTCGTCTTCATTCCTCGATTTCCTTCTTTGATCTTTCTTTCTTCCTTCTTTCTTCTTTCTTCTTTCTTTCCTTCTTGTCTTCAACAGACTTCAAACAGTCTTCTTCTCTAGTTTGATTCTTCTTCCTTTTCTTCTTCTTCTTCTTCCTTACTTCTTCTTCCTTCTTTCATCTAGCTTCCTACTTCTTCTATTCTTCCTTCTTCTTCTTCTTTCTTCTATCTTCTTCTTCTTCTAATCTATCTTCTTTCTTCTTTCTTCCTTCTTCTTCTTCTTCCTCTTCTTCTTCCCTTCCTCTCTTCTTCCTTCTTCTTCCAGTCTTCCTCTTCTTCTTCTTCCTCCTTCTTATTCTTTCCTCCTTCTTCTTCTTCCTCCTTCTTCAGAAGAGTTCCTCCTTCTTCTTCTTCTATCTTCTCTTCCCATGGGGTCCCTGAAACGGGCTCCCATTGGCTTGCTGTCTCCATCGCCACACTTCTGCCAATGTGCCGAAACTTACAGGTCTCCTCACAATGCTGGTGAAAAAGTTCCATTTTGTCATAGGGTGCTGTATGGCCTCCCATTGGCTGCTGCCTCAGCCGCCACACTGTGTCACTCACAAAACACTCTGGTTTTGCCACGTGATTGCCCAATATGAGTGAGTGTGCGGTGATTTAGATCGGACGGCACTATCGTCTGATGCTCATACTGCTGACAAGTATTATTTCTCTTCCCCAGCAGGCTCCAAGGGCATTGAAATTAAAAGGTACAGTGTTCTGCACTTAATATAAAGGCTCTCTGAAGCCTAGAAACCCTTTTTATAAGTTAAATTAAGAATAGCCAAAATGGCAAGGACTCCGCCAACAATCAGCTCCAGGAAGATCAAAGGTCTAAAGTTACCTGTGAGTACTGTTACAATTAGAAGACGCCTATGTGAAGCCAAGCTATCTGCAAGAAGCCCCCGCAAAGTCCCACTGTTGAAAAAAAGACGTGCTGAAAAGGTTACATTTTGCCAAAGAGCACATTGACTGGCCTAAAAAGAAATGGCACAACATTTTGTGGACTGATGAAAGTAAAATTGTTTTTTTTTGGGTCTAGTGGCTGGAGACAGTTTGTCAGACGACCCCCAAACAGTGAATTCAAGCCACAGTACACTGTGAAACAGAAGTTGGTTGACTCCATGCAACACAGATGTACAGCAGTTCTCAGAAACAGTGGTTATACAACTAAATATTAAGTGATTCAAAGGAAAGCAAAATCTTCAAACATTTTTCAGTTTATATAGTGAATGTTTGAGTTTGTAAAGAAGAATATAAACACTGCTATTTTTTTGAACAGTCTAATATTCACTTTTCTTCATTATTTTTTTTTTAGAGGAACAACACAACTTTGATATATTTTTCTTCATGTTTTGATTTGGAATAGAATGTGTAGTGTTCCCAATGCATTTGTGTGTATGGAAATAAAAGCTATTAGTAGGATTTTGAGCTTTATTCACTTTTTTCAACACACTGCTATTATTTTGAACACAACTGTATATGCATTTAGGGTGTGCTTACATATTTACACAGGGAATTGTGTTCTCAATTCTGTTGTGGGTGTTGTTTTATATACATATCTTCATGGTGGATCACAGTTACACTTGGTGTTAACACTAGGAGAATATAGTTTTTATATGTCAGACTTGATATGTTTTGGGCTATTGATGTCGCTTTTTGACATGCACTATTTGATGTTTTTTTTTTTTGCAGTCACTTTTTGTTTGTTGTGACTAGAAGATATATATTTGTGTTAGATCACTTCTGGCATATGGTCAGTTGTTGGGGGTAATCTTTTTTTTTTTTTTTTTTTTTTTTTTTTTCGTGTAGTTGCGCGACACTTTTTTATTTTATTATATTTTTGTATTCATTGTGATGGTGTGGGAATTACACATTACAGTATAGGCTGCAGCTAATGGGTCAGCAATATTTTTTGGTTGTCTCTTCATAAACGCATTTGTTTTTGCAGATGATTCCCCCTATAATTTTTTGTTTTGTTTCATAAATGCACACTTATAACACCTTTTGGCCGCGCTCTCTCCCGCGCGCGCTCTCTCCCACGCGCGCTCTCTCCCGCGCGCTCTCTCCGCGCCCTCGCTCTCTCCCGCACTCCCTCCCGTTCTCTCTCCCCGTGCTCTCCCCCTGCGCTCGCGCTCTCTCACTCGCTCTCTTGCTCTCTATCGTGCTCTCGCTCCTCTCCCGCGGGAGCGCGCACAAGCAGGGTGCGGGGAGGCCGTTTATAAACGGCCACTCTACCCTGCAGTGCCACCGTCCGGCCGTTTATATACAACGGCCGGTAGGGAAGTGGTTAAAGTGTAACCTATGTACAATTTTTAGGTACCATAGTTTATCTCCATCTCATGTTGTATTCTTTCCTAAAATTTTCCATTTGATAAACAGTTGAACAAATATCATGCGACATAACACTACAGCCATTATTTCATTTTCTGGACCCTCTGCTTTCAGAACAAATAATGATGTTTGGGAGTTCTAAGTAATTTTATAGCAAAAACAATTCTTATTTCAACATGTATATAAACCAGCACAAAAAGAGGAACATTGCTGTTGCGTTGCAATATCACTTTTTAGCAGTATAGCATGCGGTCAAACAACTTCCATGAAATCATATTTTATTCACGGATATTTTAAAAAGTACATGTGGACCCTCACAGGTTCAAAGAAATGTATTCAAAGTGTTAATATCATAGCTAAAGCAAATGTTCAATAATGTTCATACTTGATGTAAATATACAGGTGAAACTTGAAAAATTTAAATATCGTGCAAAAGCTAATTTATTTCAGTAATGCAACTTAAAAGGTGAAACCAATATATGAGAGAGACTCATTACATGCAAAGCAAGATAGTTCAAGCCGTGATTTGTCATAATTGTGATGATTATGGCTTACAGCTCATGAAAACCCCAAATCCACAGTCTCAAAAAATTAGAATTATTACATGCAATCTATAAAACAAGGATTGTACATAGAACAATATCGGACCTCTGAAAAGTATAAGCATGCATATGTACTCCAGTACTTGGTTTGGGCCCCTTTTGCAGCAATTACTTCCTCAATGCGGCGTAGCATGGAAGCTATCAGCCTGTGGCACTGTGAAGGTGTTATGGAAGACCAGGATGCTTCAATAGCGGCCTTCAGCTCTTCTGCATTGTTCGGTCTCGTGTCTCATCTTTCTCTTGGCAATGCCCCATAGATTCTCTATGGGGTTCAGGTCAGGCGAGTTTGCTGGCCAATCAAGCACAGTAATCCCACGGTCATTGAACCAGGTTTTAGTGCTTTTGGCAGTGTGGGCAGGTGCCAAGTCCTGCTGGAAAATGAAATCGGCATCTCCATAAAGCTCGTCTGCGGAAAGAAGCATGAAGTGCTCCAAAATCTCTTGGTAGACGGCTGCATTGACTCTGGAGTTAATGAAGCACAGTGAACCAATACCAGCAGATGACATGGCTCCCCAAATCAACACAGACTGTGGAAACTTCACACTGGACATCAAGCATCTTGCAGTGTGTGCCTCTCCATTCTTCCTCCATACTCTGGGTCCTTGGTTTCCAAATGAGATGCAAAAGTTGCTCTTATCAGAAAAAGAGGACTTTGGACCACTGAGTAACAGACCAGGTCTGTTTTTCTTTAGCCAAAGTCAGACGCTTCTGACGTTGTTTGTTGTTCAGGAGCGGCTTGACAAGAGGAATACGACCTTTGAAGCCCATGTCCAGTATCCGTCTGTGTGTGGGGGCTCTTGATGCACTGACTCCAGCCTCAGTCCACTCCTTGTAAATGTCCCCAACACTTTTGAATGGCCTTTTCTTGACAATCCTCTCCAGGCTGCGGTCATCCCTGCTGCTTGTGCACCTTTTTCTTCCACACTTTTCCTTTCCACATAACTTTCTGTTAATGTGCTTTGATACAGCAACATCCAACTTGTTTTGCAATTACCTTTTGAGGCTTTCCCTCCTTATGGAGGGTGTCAATGATGGTTTTCTGCACAAACTGTCAGGTCAGCAGTATTTCCCATGATTGTGATTCCTACTGAACCAGACTGAGAGACCATTTATAGGCTCAGGAACCCTTTGCAGGTGTTATGGCTTAATTAACTGATTAGAGTGGGACACTTTGAGCCTAGAATATTGCAGCTTTTCACAATATTCTAATTTTCTGAGATTGTGGGTTTGGGGTGTTGATGCGCTGTAAACCATAATCATCACAATTATGACAAATCACAGCTTGAACTATCTTGCTTTGCGTGTAAAGAGTCTATCTCGTATATTAGTTTCACCTTTTAAGTGGCATTACTGAAATAAATTAACTTTTGCATGATATTCTAATTTTTTGAGTTTCACCTGTAGGTTTAAATCCCACAAATCTACACTAAGTTCCCCCTAAAAATATATCCATGTATTACACTCCTACTGTGTGTTTTGCCTGGGAGGCTGTATTACCAGTGCTACTCGAAATGATGTTGAGAATGCTCGTACATTTTTTCTGTTTCAATGTTTTTATGAAGAAAGTTTTGTTTTAAGAATACAACAAGCTCAAGATATGCCCACGCAAGGGCAGAGCAGAACAATAACACATACACAGATACATCATGCTGACTTGTATTAGCCAAATAACGGAATGTCCAATGACATCAAGGAGGGACGACAAAAAAAAAACCGAACCAGATAGCAGCAGCAATCCATCATATTACCGGATAAAGAAGAGGAAAGAAAAAAAAGAGGTTAGAAGGATGTAAAAAGAAAAACAGAGAAAAAAAAAAGAATCAAAGAAAACATGGAGGAAAGGAAAACTAGAAGAATCACGGATCCAGGGCTAGCATAGGCATGAATATAAGAGGCCATAACTAGTAGGCAGGGAATAATGTAACCAAGGTTCCCAAACCTTAAGGAATCTCAGATGAGAATCATGAAGAACGCTAGACATCTGTTTATTGATCAACATAGCATTCATCCGGGTCTTCACCCCCTGGAAGACAACCGAAGGGGTTCTCCAAGCTTGTGCTATAGCACGTTTGGCCGAAATAAATAGGTAGGAAGCCAATTTCTGCTGAGACCTAGACAGATCCAAAATGGGCAATGCAGGAGGTCCACCCTTGCATCCCTACAGACCGTAATATGAAATAGCGTTTGCAGCAAACCAAAAACCCTAGACCAGAAGCCTATCAATCGCAGGCACGACCAACAAATGTGCAAGACGTCCCCACGTAGACCACAGTTCTGGAAACACCTATCTCTGCAGTCGGATTAAAGTGAGCAGTCCAAGCCGTGACCCAGTACCACCACAGGAGAACTTTGTAGGCTGCCTGAAGATTGACTGTATTGAATGAACATTTCGCCACCATCTCGCCATTTCGCCCCACGCCATTCCTCCGCTGCAATCGAGAAGCCCAGATCTTGCTCCCATTGAGACAAGACAGGGGTGGTGAAGAGGACCTACTGTTAAGGTGTAAATGACAGAAATGAGACCAGGGGACCCTGGGGAATGCGGACAGACGTGTTCAAAGGGCATTTTGTGGTAAGGATATGTAGAGGTACGACGGAGGGATAGGACCCAGTGGTGCAATTGCAAATAACGATAATATTCCCATGGCGGGACCCCCCTTGATTCCCGAAGAGACTCCCATGATGGAAACATACGAACGCTCAGAAAATCATGTACAATAACAAAGCCATGGAAGGTTCACCAAGAGAAAGAAGGGGGATGTTCTAGGCCTGGTGGAAATAAAGGATTATAATCGGCAAAAGAGGTAGAAAGGATATCAAATTACCAGAATATTTAACAGAATCCCAGCTTAGTAAACTGTGAAGTATGATAGGGCTGAAATCCGGAGGGCGCAACTTAGGCGGGAGCCAAAGCAATGTAGTTAAGGAAAGCGGACCACAATTGGGTAATTCCAAGAGTACCCATAGCGGGATATCTGTCATGGCATGAAACATAGA